CAATTGTCCGCCTCCATAGTGCCGAGTTTGTAAGATCCCTTTTCGATGACGCCAATAACTTGATATGGTCCTTCCCAATTCGGGCCTAGTTTCCCTTCGTTTGGGTCTCGAGTGTTGAGGGTGACTTTCCTTATAACTAAGTCCCCGATTCCGAAGTGGCGAAGGTTGGTTCTTTTATTGTAATATCTCTCGATTCTTTTCTTTTGTGCAGCCATTCGAACAAGTGCAACTTCTCGTTTTTCATCCAATAGTTCGAGGCTAGTATTCATAGCCTCATGATTTGATTCCTCTATTGTATGTCGAAATCTGACGCTGGGTTCCCCGACCTCGACTGGAATTAAGGCCTCGGAGTAGGGACATCGGATGCCATAATCCTCAACAGGTGGTAGTCAGATCTCAAGTCGATCTTAGAAAACACTTGGGCACCCTGAAGCTGGACAAACAAATCATCAATCCTCGGCAATGGGTACTTATTCTTGATTGTGACCTTGTTCAATTGCGGGTAATCTATACACATTCTCATCGATCCGTCCTTCTTCTTAACAAACAACACCGGCGCACCCCAAGGAGAGACACTAGGCCTAATAAAGCCCTTATCAAGTAAGTCTTGCAACTGCTCCTTCAATTCTTTCAACTCGGGCGGGGCCATACGATACGGTGGAATAGAAATAGGCTGAGTGCCCGGAGCCAAATCAATGCAGAAGTCAATATCCCTGTCGGGTGGCATACCCGGCAGGTCTAAAGGAAAAACCTCAGGAAACTCATGAACAACAGGCACAGAATCCGTAGAAGGAACCTCAGCACTAGAATCACGAACATATGCCAAATAGGCCAAAATCCCTTATCAACCATACGCCGAGCCTTCATATATGAGATAACCCTATGGGTAGAATGAACATGAGTCCCTCTCCACTTCAGACGAGGTAAACCTGGTAAGGCTAGGGTCACAGTCTTGGCATGACAATCCAAGATAGCGTGGTAAGGTGATAACCAGTCCATCCCCAATATGACATCAAAATCAACCGTATCCAAAAGTAACAAATCTACTCGAGTGTCAAGACCCCCAATCACAACTATACAGGACCGATGGACACGATCTACCACAATAGAATCACCCACCGATGTAGACACATATACAGGAGCACTCAAAGAATCACTAGGCATGACCAGATACGGTGCAAAATAAGATGACACATAGGAGTATGTAGATCCAGGATCAAATAGAACTTATGCATCTCTACTACAAACCAGAACAGTACCTGTGATAACTGCATCGGAAGCCTCAGCCTTAGGCCTGGCTAGAAGAGCATAACATCGGGGCTGGGCCCCACCACTCTGGACTACATCTCCGGGACGGCCTGCTGCTGGCTGGCCTCCACCTCTAGCAGCCTGACCTCCACCTCTAATACCTATACCTCCACCTCTATCACCTCTATCTCCACCCCTAGCTGGCTGAGCAGGCTATGGAACACTCGGTGCGTGAATCATGGGATGGGAACCCTGATGCAGATGCTCGATGCTCGGGGGCAAAATCTAGCAATATGCCCTGTATCGCCACAAGTATAACAAGCCCTCGGCTGCTGAGACTGCTGATTCTGACGACCTGAATGATCACCCCGGAAACTCTAAAGCGGTGGTGCATTGATAGATGATGCGGGTGAGAACCTAAGGGGTGAGGACATTCCCCCGACTGCTACACCAGTTCCTACACCTGCTGAGGGTGCTACTATCCCTCCCATTGATACTCCTGTTCCGCCTCCAGCCCCAACTTCCGGTTTTGGTAATTCTGATGGGGATCTTAGGGGAGCTATTCTCTTTTTACCTTACTCCTCCGGCTATCAACACTTCTACTCTAGATTGCATCCCTTCTTGTATCTCGGGGGAAGGCAATGATATGCCGAACAAGATACCAGATGAAAAAGAAATCAAAGATGTTGTTTTTAGCCTGAGCCCTCATAGCACTGCAGGTATAGATGGCTTCAATGGTACCTTCTTTCAGAGCTATTGGGACATCATCCAAAAGGAGGTAACTGCCTTTGTGATAAAATTCTTCAAGGAAAAAGGTTTGACTAAATTCTACTCTCATAGATGTTTGGTCTTAATTCCTAAAATTGATAATTCTACTACTTTTGTTGATTTTAGACCAATTAGCCTCTCAAATTTTACTAACAAGATTATTTTTAAAATCATTTCTATTGGAGAGAATACTCTTTTGCACAAATTAGTATCTTTAAATCAAAGTGATTTTGTAAAAGATAGGTTGATATCTGAGAATGTATTGCTTGCTTAGGAGATCATTCACAATATTGCTAAAATTAACAAAGGTGGTAATGTGGTTATTAAGCTTGATATGACTAAAGCATATGATGGAATGTCCTGAGATTTTATTTATGCCGTTTTAAGGAAGTGTAGATTCTCTGATAGTTGGATTTTAATAATCCATAATCTAATCTCTAATGTGTGGTAATCTGTCATTGTGAATGGTACTAGACAAGGCTTCTTCTCATCTTCTCAAGGGCTTAAACAAGGAGATCCATTGTCTCCATCTCAACTAATAATAGTTGGGGAGGTCTTGTCTAGATCTCTTAACTGTTTATATAGGAAACCTAATTTCATCCCTTTCTCTATGCCTGCTAATGTTCCAAAGATTAACCACTTAGCTTATGCTGATGATATTGTTATTTTCTGTAGTGGTGACTCTATCTCTGTTAAATTGGTCATGAACACTATCTCTAAGTATGAAAGGAGTTCTAGTCAACATGTTAATAGGGATAAAAGTTATTTCTTAACTACTCCTAACACTACTGCTATCAAAATCAACAGGATTAGAAATTATCCTGGTTTTATGGATAAGACCTTCCCTTTTACCTATCTAGGTTGCCCTCTCTATGTGGGAAAGAAGAAAATAGATTATTTTGACAGCATGCTTAGTAAGATTGCTAAAAGACTTAATGGCTGGCAGGGTAAGTTTCTTTCTCATGGTGGTAAAGCTATTTTAATTAAAAGTGTGCTTCAATCCATCCCCGGCGCAGATGATTTCCCCTAATTAACCGATGGATCAACGCCTTCGTATGTATATCACCCGAATTTTTTGCTTATACACTATCTGCTATGTCCCCCCAAGGTGTGTTTAGATTAATTGAAAAGCATTTTGCCAACTTTTTCTGGCTAACTCTGTTGACCATAAAAAAATACCATTGGAGTTCCTGGAACAATCTTGCTCTTCCTATACAGGGCATTGGAATCAGGAGAATGGAGGATATTAGTGATATGTTAGCCATGAAAAGGTGGTGGAGGATTAGGTCTACATCATCTCTCTGGGCTACCTTCATCAAAAACAAATACTGTGTAAGGGCCCCTTTTAGCCTCAAAGAAATTGGCTCCAGGTAACTCTCATGCATGTAGTCATGTTCTGAAGGTGAGGGATATTGCAGAGAAGTATATGGTTTGGCAGGTAAACTCTGGGTCTAGTAGTTTCTGATGGGATACTTGGTCTTTAAAGGGTCCATTGGCAGCTTTGGTTCCTAACATTTGTAAGAGTGCTAAGACCTTAGTTGGAGAGTTCATAACAAATGGTCATTGAAAAATTTGTAAGCTGAAGGACACTTTACCGGATCAATTGGTCCATCACATTAACTCCATTGTCATTGGAAATCATAACAATGAGGATCAATTAATAACCAGCGTTTGCAAAGTCGTTGAAAAATAGCCACTATTTTGCTGCAACACGGAAAGTTCCAGCATAATATACTGGAAATCGGTGCACCTGAGTATGAACTTCCAGCGTATTATGCTAGAACTCCAACAAGCAGAAAGATTAAGAAAGAAGTTTGTTTTGCTTTCCCATACACAAAATAATGAAAAGCAGAAACAACTTGTTGTGCTTCATCAATCTATTGGAGGAAAAAAACTAAAATTATTGAAAATGGATTCCGACGGAGATTAGGATTATTTACGGCTCTTTATGGCCAATAATAAGCAGTAAATGATGAATAATAGATAAAACACAATAAATGTAAGCAATAAATGAAGTAATGAACTCAGGAGAATATGTTAGAGAGCAGAGAGAATCTTTGTGTATTTCTTGATATTGAGTGGCCAACCTCTACAAAATGACAAGGATCCCCTTTTTATAGGAGGGGGAATCCCAATATAGTACAAATGCATTAAAAACAAAGATATGGGGCCGGTACAGCCATTTAATGCCTTGATTCGCTTTTCTGACTAGGCCAGCTATATATATGCATCTTGGGAACTCCACCTTGATTTGCCGAGACCGCTAATTCACCTTGCCTCGGGGCCAGTCATCGCTTATACTATCTTGGAGTCGCCCATTGAGAATTCTCGGGGTCGATTACTGGTAACTCTCGAGATGCCTTGATGCTCGTGAAATCGAGCCATAGATTTCTACCGTATACAGCCTTGTAGCCTCCTGTTTATAAGTGTGGTGCACAACACACCCATAAACAAGACTCAACTAGACACAGCTTGTAGACTTCCTAGGATAGAATTGCTCTGATACCAAATTTGTCACACCCCAAATCTAAAGGGGTGTGGCCGGCACCTGGTGCCATACTCGACCCGAGTGTAGCACTCTGTAACTATGAACTCTGGATGGGTAACCCTCAATCTAGTATTACAAATACATTGTAGGAGATGTTTTTCAGCAGTACACACATTTTTGCAATACTTTAATTGCAGCTCTCAATTGGACTATGTGATTTTCATTGCACTACAAGAAAAAGCCTTATCTACGACCAACTTTTAGGGACGAGTTAATAATCTCGTCGCAAAAAATATATTTATTGGGACAAGATTATATTGCGGTCCTTAATGCTTCATTTTATTACGAAGGTACTAAATCTGGTCCCTAAAAAAATTATTAACTGGTCCCAAATTATAAATGAGGGGCATTAGTGTGCCGCCAAATCTAATACCAAAATATTACTATACATTATTTTCTGAAAAATCAGGCACCAAACCTAATAAATTGAAATAAATTTTTTTAAAAAGTAAAGAAACTCTCTGTATTCTCTAAACACAAATCGCGCGCGCATCAGCTCTGCCCTAGTATTCCGCCGAGCTCTGACCTTGTCCTTTATCTGTATTTTCTCAAAACATAAGTTGTAAATCTGGTTGTGTGTGAATCTGCCCAAGTTTCCATCTCGCTCGTTTGAGAATCTGTGGTATGCCCCTCTTTCAAGTTGCTATTTTTCGCCGATTGCTTCGCTTATTCGAGTTCTCCGATCTTCTTCTTCTATGACATTAAAAAAATGGTAAGGTTTTATATTTTGGTATTTTTTTCTTTTGTATAATCAGTGAAAAGATTATTGGGTTGGGATTCCTAATTTGATAATTTAATTTTCTGAAGTTGATTTAAAATTGCGATTCTGCATTCTCTGCGGCAGATTTTAATTGCCTTCTTTTGCTTCGTTGATGTGTGTTTCTGCCTTCCCCACTTAACTAATCCATGTTAGTAGCAGTGTGGATTGTGTACTATAGAAGAGTGCCGAAAGCACCATCTTGAATTGCTAAAATTGTGTTTAGTGATACCTAGTGGCTTGTAAAAAAATATTATGCTTAGCGAATCTTAGAAAGACAACGAGAAAGAATTTAGCTTAAAGATATGCTGTATTTCATGAATGAGAATATGTAAAAGCTTATTAATTGACCTACAATTGAGAAGGAGGTGATACCAAAGTTACTGCTGCAACCTTGTCTGGTTTGCATCTACACAGAGCAGGAGTTAGCAACAGGTTGTTTGAGTAATGGTTAGTGACATATCCTATAGCATAAATATTAGTGTATTGATTTCTCTTTTATTTTATCAGTACCTACTCTGAATGTAAATGCAGTAATGAGATACCATCTGGGAAAATTGCAATTCATTGTTGCTTGTAATGAAATAAAGATATTGGCGTATGTATTTTACATCTGAAAAAGATTTTCATTTTCTATGTTCAAAAAATGAAGGATTGCAAGTCTACTATTCATTTTCATCTGTTCAAAAAATAAAAATCTGGTACATACTTTCTTTTTAAAGATGTTTTAGAACTTGGGCAGAACAGTACATAATCGCGGTATGTGTCCGTTGGGAGTATCATTGTAACGACCCGGCCGGTCGTTTTTGGAATTTACGCCCCGATTCCCCATTTACTGCTTCCCCTAAGTTCATTTCTGCTATTTTGGTATGCCGGGACGTTCGGTGTTAAGTTTTGGAGAGTTTTGGAACACTTAGTCCCTAAATGAGAGCTTAAGTGTTGAAAAATGGTCTGTAATCAAAACAGTGTGAGGACGACCTTAGAATAGGAATCTGATGGTTCCGTTAGCTCCGTTAGGTGATTTCGGGGTTGGGAGCGTGTTCGGAATGTATTTTGGAGGCTCGTAGCTCATTTAGGCTTGAAATGCCGAAGTTTGAATTTTCGAAGTTCCGGTCGATAGTGAGTTTTTGATCCGAGGGTCGGATTGGAATTCCGGAAGTTGCAGTAGCTCCGTCATGTCATTTGGGATGTGTGAGCAAAATTTCAGGTCATTCGGACGTGTTTTGGTTAGGTTTTTGATCGAAAACGTATTTGGAGGAAACTTGTAGTTCTTAGGCTTGAATCTTTGATTTAATCGGGTTTCCGGTGTTGTTTTAGGTGTTTTAAGGATTGGTGCAAGTTTGAATAAGGTATCAGGTGGTATTGTTGCTTTTGGTTGAGGTCCCGGGGGCCTCGGGATGATTTCGGGTGGTTAACGGAAGTGTTGCAGCAACTGGTTTTTTTCTCTTCTGGTATTTTCGCTTCTGCGGCTTGGGAACCGTAGAAGCGGAGCCGCATAAGCGGCCATCCCATCGCAGGAGCGGAATTTGGGCTCCCTTCAGTTTCCGCAGGTGCGGAAGTTTGACCGCAGAAGCGGTTACGCACCTGCGAGGTATAAGTCGCAGATGCGACCCTGGGTCATTGGTAAGAAACCGCAGAAGCGGTAAGTATTTCGCAGAAGCGGCCACCGCAAGTGCAGTTTAAGATCGCAGAAGCGGAACCCCTGTAATTTAGTTAATAGCCGCAGAAGCGGCATTTGTTCCGCATAAGCGGGACCGCAGATGCGGTCCCTTGTCCGCAGAAGCGGAAATCCCTGGGCAGAAATAGAAATTTCGAGGGTTTGAGTTCATAAGTTACAAAAATCAATTGAGAACTCGGGTAAGGGCGATTTTGAGTGGGTTTTGAAGAGAAGACTATTGGGTAACGTTTCCTTAATCCCTTCTAGTTATATTTCATCATTATATAGTTAAATGTATCATTGGAATTCGAATTTAGGATCAAAATTGGATAATTTGGGGTAAAACTTCATTGGCTAAATTATGGAGTTTTGAGTGAGCATTTGACCTCCGATTTGGGAGATTTTTATATGGTTAGACTCGTGAGAGTACGAGGGTTCTGAAAATGTGAAAATTATTCGATTCCAGGGCGTTGGCCTGGAGGGCATTTTGGTCATTTCACCTAATTTTACGCCGTAGCTTTGAATTTATTAGCAAAACCAGGTGTTTACGATGTTATTTACAATGTGTAATTGAATTGAATAGATTTGAGCCATTTGGAGTCGGATACTCGTGGCAAGAGCGTGATTTCTAGTTGATATTGAGCCGGTTCGAGGTAAGTGGCTTGTCTAACCTTGTGTGGGAACCTTTCCCCTTAGTATTTGATATGTGGTAATTGAGTGCCTTGTACGTGAGGTGACGAGCGCGCACTTGAGCTGATTGTTGAAAAACCCGGTTTTTACTTATGATATTGAGACTGAGTTTCCTTCATATTTGCCTTGTTTTACTTGCAGTTATAACCTGTGTTAGATTAGAAAAGCATGTTTAGTTGATTTAACTTGCCTAATTGTTTAAGTTGCCTTGACTGTACTACGTGAAGCATGCTAGGCTAGTACTACCTGATGTTTGCCTTTTTGTACTTCATTTATGCATATCTTCTGGTTGTGGTTGCGCATTTACATTGGGACTACGGATGTGGGATTCC